TGTAACGAATGACTAAAAATCGAATTTGTTGTTTCATCTTCTCAATCAAAGATTCTGTCTATTACACCACCGAAAAATATTTCTTGGCAGCAAGTTTGATAAAAAAAAGATATGAAAACACATTTATTGTATATTTCCAATTTTCGAATAAACAGCTGGGATGGAAATCGTATATAAACAGTCCGAAATCTAAGTTTGTGCTGTTGTCTTATCAAGTACTATCGACCGGCACAGTCATTTTTAAGTGCCAATGTACTGTCATTGTGTTACATAGAATATATTTGTCTACATAATCGCATACTGTGGAATGCTGTAAGTTTGAAATAACTTAAAGTGACGTAATGTGAAACGGTTAATGGGAGAGAAGCTACACAAAAAGATGAGTTTATTAAAAATAAATGTACACACACACACACATGCACACGCACAAACATACACCCAAACACACACACACACACACACATATATGGGATTCATGCAAACAAAAAAGAATATGGAAGTTTCCTTCAGCATTCCAACTCTAGACTTTCATAGAGGTGTTCCATGCAATCACTCCGTCTACTCGTCAGAGTATATTATATATGCCATCTACACATCAAGTTGCAGTATGATATGTTGAATGATATTTTATTTTCTGTGAATATTTTTCATTTTTATATTAATAGAGTCAACGTTTTGGATTTGTTCCAATGATTAATAATAATAATAATAATAATAATAATAATGATATATATATATATATATATATATATATATATATATGTGTGTGTGTGTGTGTGTGTGTGTGTGTGTGTGTGTGTGTAGTGTGTGTGTGTGTGCAATTCCAGTATTTAGCCTATATCTGATATTGAACACACCTACCTATATATATGCTCAATTTAATATATATATAATATAAATTTTGAAACATGATTATTACTGTGTAGCGAAGGAACCATAATTTAAATCTGAAAAAGAAAGAACAGTAATATGGTATATTATATACAGAATTTAATATATATATATATATATATATATATATATATATATATATATATATATATAACTTTTAACGTCATTTTAATAGATACTCTTATTTGGCTATGCTCTCCTTGTATTTACTAAAGTGTAAGTGTTTTTTTTTTTTTTTGTTTTTTTTCGTTTACCTGCCTGAACGCCTGGGAAATCATATGAAAGAAAAAGTTGACTTCTCTGGACTCAAGTCACAAATTCTGGCCTCGCTTGCTCTTCGAGGCCAAGTTGGTTAAGGCGTACAGGGCTTAACTATAGCCCTCTGTGACTTGAAACAAAGTTTTTATAACAGTTCTAAATTTAACAATATTTTTTAATAAAATATATGCTCTTTCGTTTCACCGACTGATATGTAATTAAAGTTGAAAACCACGGTTAATGCCGGGGAAGGGTTCCAGCCTTTAGAATATCGAGATCTTAGCCAAAATCTACGAAATCTATTTTGAGAGTTGTGTTATGTGAACTGCTTCTAATCTATTGCAGCTAATATAGTCTGTCCAATGATTCCTACGATATTGATATGTCTAATTTTGTAGTTGTTTTTGCGACAACATTTACAAATAATAATCTAGTCAAATACAGAAGTATTTCCTCATATTTCTGTCATATACTTTCATGCATTCTTTTTTCTTCCTGTCGAAATTTGGGTTAGTAAAATTCATCATTTTAACAAAAATGATAAAGAAAGCAGATATTTTGCCAGGGTATGAAAAATTATGTGTTTAATTGTATATGTAAGTGCAGGTACTTGTGTGATCCCGCAGGTGGCAACAATAATATATATCGATGTCAATGATATGTCATTAGTTTAGGAGTTTCGCGAACATAATATTTGTGAGCGTCTAGACATGGTAATGCATATATTCATAGAATCTGACATTACAATCGTGCTTGCGTGTACACCGATGGACAAATATGGCGAAAATTTAAAAGAATTTACAATTTTTCGAACATGGCTATGATTTGGTTAGCCTTGAGCGGATAGGGAGTGGCAGGGAGGATATTGAACGTCATCTTTCCCTATAAAAATGTACCTATCTCTCTCTCACTATCTCTCTCTCACTATCTCTCTCTCTCTCTCTCCATATATATATATATATATATATATATATATATATATAGTGAGAGAAAGAGAGAGATGTGCGTGTGCCACTAACGAAATTTGTTAAAATATAGATGAGCTCCACGGAATTTTTCAAATATCTTCTTTCCTGAAATATACACTTCTTTTCTGAGCCAACATATATGACAATAACAATTTTAGAGAGATTTTTCTGTCATCACTTACAGTAGGTAAAATCCGGTATAAATGTCGTTACAACCCTATATATATATATATATATATATATATATATATATATATATATATAGTACCCTTCAAAATTATTGGGAAAGCAAGGCCAATTCATCTTTGGTTGTTCATTGAAGACATTTGGATTTAAAAACAAAATATAAATATGAGACAAATATTCTCAATTTCAAATTTTATTTCATGGTATTTACATTTCGATGTATTAAACAAATGAGGAAATATCACCTTTTGCTTGAAGACACCTATTTTTCAAATGAGCAAAATTAATTGAACACGCGACTTACAGGTGTTTCTTTTTCTTTTTTTTTCTTTATGTTAGCAGTTTAAACATTAAATAGCTCTTAATGACTACTCTTGATTTTAGCCTTGGGTTTCACCTGTAAAAATTTTATTTTTTGTTAAAAACAATAAACTATCATGAAGACTATTGACCTGACTACGAAAGAAAAAGCAAACTGAGTTTCATTCATATTTACTAATAATGTAACTCAATGTTAAACAGCTGAATAAATTCAGAAGAATACATAAAAATTTTACCTGCGAATTTACAGGGAAATGCACCAAATCTAATCGGGGAGGGAGTTTATCATGTAGAATTACCCAAAACATACTGCAAACACAAGAAAGGACTTCATATTTTAAAATATAAGCTAAAGCTTAGAATATGATAAAAGCTTTTTTCTTAAGCATTCCACCCCTAGCAAGGCGGGAAGCCACTAGCACACAAGAGGTTACAGAAAGTTGGAGTGAGAGCAAATAGGAGTGATAGAGGAAAGGATGAAGAAAAGGATAGAGGATAGATCAAGGCAACTGGAAATATCGATTGACATTAAATTTGAATAGTTGGAGATTATAGCTATCAGGGAAAAAAGAAATGTTTGCTCCACAGTCGAAAATTTCGATCCGTGAACCAATTGGAGTTGAAGAGACGGCTACATTTAATAGTTACGACAGTGAAAAGATGAGAGCGAGATGCCAGCGTAGTAGAACGCTTAAATTCATGAAGTCTGGGAACCAGCGAATGCAGCTCATCGGAGCAGTTACCATGAAAGTATTTGTAAAAAAAGACTGAGAGAAGCGACAGCACGTCTGTGAAAGAGCGACTACAGACGATATGTCAGATCAGGGCCAATTACACTGCATATCATTCTTTGGATTTTATCAAGAACCTTGAGAGAAACAGAAAAGGCTCCAGACCTTATATGGCAGCAATACCCCATGCAAGTGCGAATGGTTGATTTGTAGATTTGAAGGATTGACTCAGGCGAGAAAAATTTCCTGGCACAGCACAGGGAGCCGACTTCCCTTGCGGTGGACGAAGCGATTGACTCAATGTATTCCTTTTAATTTTAAAATATAAAATAAACTGGGAGATGAATGCCAAACCTGGCGCAGTTAAAATATAAAATATTACCATATTATTATTAATACAATTATATTCAATATTCCGACGATCTCAATGGCTACACCTATCGGTCCAGTGTAACAACGGTGGGCCTTGACAGACCAGTCATTCGACTGCCCGATGCAACCAAGTTTGACAAATCTCAACTGTCTCTATCTTCTTTGATGAGGGCGCTTCTGGCAAGTGTATGGGCCCCGTCGCGCATAATTGTTCACCAAAATCAAATTTACGTCAATGGTCTCGTCAAATGCACTTTGATAGATTTGAACCACATCCACTACACACACACACACACACACACACACACATATATATATGTGTATATATTGCAATGAGAACTAAATAATATATAAATTCTAACATTCACAGCATTAATTCAAAAGAGGGCTCGATACAGATATTAGAGCAATAATTATTTTTTATATTTTTTATTATATTTTTTGTCTATATGAAAAATTATGATAAGAAGTAATATATATATATAAATATATATATATATATATATATATATATATATATATGTGTGTGTGTTTGTGTATGTGCGTGTGTGTGTGTGTTTACGTGGGTTACGTGCGTATGTATTTAGGCAGCAATACCTCTTTTATACATGTTTAGTTATGAGAAATGTCAAGAGGAAAACCTTATATGTCAAAACGTTTAGAAACTTTGTAGTTGGTTTTAGAAAACTCTACCGATTAATGAAAGGAGTGTGTTTAGGTATATTTAGCTAAATAAAATTTCTATAGATGCCTTGAAAAATTTTCTCAAGAATCACGTCGACATAAAAGTTTTTGATCTTGTCATTTCTTTCATCAATACTGTCTTTACGGAGGTATATGATTTATATTTAAATTTTCACTTCCCCATATATATATATATATATATATATATGTGTGTGTATATATATATAGATATATATATGTGTGTGTGTGTGTGTTTGTGTGTGTATTTATTGCCGTTAGCCAATTCTTAAAACGATGTATACATAAAAGTTAAGCAGAGACACAAGTAAAGAAACAGGTAGAATCATATAGCTGACTCTTCCCCTGAATGAGGTTAACTTTGTGTATCACTGTTCCATTCTCAGTATTCGTGTTCTTTTCATCCGTTTATATTTTCCAGCCGTCCACCACAGTTTTCAGCCGACCAGTTCTCCGACCCTTAACTCTCGCTGGCCTAACCTCGAAAAAGAAGAAACCAGATTAAATTCATGCAACCCAGATTTAATGAAGTGCATTAGAACGACGGTAAACAAGCAAAGTTTTATTTGAATTACCCTTGAGTATTTATCCGGCTCAATCGAAGCAAAGAATGAACTCTTTTGATCTGTCCACTGGAGGTCAAGTAATAGATTTGCAATTCTAAATGAGGATGGGAAAGGACGTAATGCGATAGAGAGAGAGAGAGAGAGGGAGGGAGGGAGACGGAGACGGGGGAGGGGATGAAAAGAAAATATATTTCCAAGGAAAAATTGATCTATTAAGGATAAAGGATAAAACAAAAATAGATATGGAGAGGTACATAAATCAAATGAATAAAAGAGAAAATGTTTTTATAGGTATTTTGAAATGAAGAACTGAAATGTGGCCAAAGAAGGAAAGGAAAGGAAAAAATGCTATGGAAAGAAATGAATTTAAGAGAAAAAGAAATAGAAAAAGAAAGAAATTAGCAAAGGGAGAAAAAAAAAAAAAAGAAATACACAAAAAAAGAAATACATAAAGAAAGAAAGAAAGAAAGAAAGAAAGAAAGAAAGAAAGAAAGAAAGAAAAAGAAAAAAGAAAGAAAACAGGAAGGAATGCACAAAGGAAGAAGTAGGTAAATAAAGATGAGGACAACAGCCTGTGTAATATTAATTATTATAAATAAGGAAAGACAAACATAAATAAAGTAATACATATAAAAATTAACAAATATATAAGGAAAGAAAGATATGCAAAGAAAGTATAAATGCATAAAGAAAGAGAGAGAGAAAAAAAGAAAGACATATTTGCAGTATTTAGAAACGTGGTAATGATAGATAGATAGATAGATAGATAGATAGATAGATAGATAGATAGATAGATAGATAGATAGAAGGAGGGAGGATGAAATGGGGGAAAGAATGAAAGAACATTTATTTTAATGAAGAACAGTAATGGCGGCAAATCACGAAAACTGCAGAGAAATAAAGAAAAATGAACAGACGAAAAGAAGAAAGTACAAGATTTAGCAGAAAAGCAATGAAAGGTAAGAATGACTGAAGGAGTAGGAGAAAGTAAGAAAGAATAAGACTGACAGAAGGAGTAGCAGTAAGAATATTAGGAGTGAATAAAAGGAAGAAAAAGAAGGAAAAAATATGAAGAGGATTGAAATGAGCAGATAGAAAAGAATATGAATTCACGAATGTGTATCACTCTACGTATGAGTGTGTGTGAAAGAATATAGTTAAAAAGTGAGTGGGAGGGGGAGAGAGGGAGAGTGTGAGAGAGCGAAGCGTGGTGATGGACATAAGAATGGAATAAAATAAGTAAAATATTAAATGCAGTGAATTTAAAAAAAAAGGAAAAAAAAATGATTAACAGAGACAAAAATACGAAAAGAAAGACCGACAATATGTGAGAGAAGGTAAATGAAAAAAAGAAAGAAAATTGAAGGCTGCAACATAAGAAAAGTAAGAGAAACAGAATGAGAGTAGACAGTGAAACAAAGAAGAAAAGAGAAGAGACATGGTAAAAAGAATCAAACGTTTCATGGTAGGGGGAAATAGCGAGAAAGGAAGAGAAAAAAAATTGTGATCAGCAATTATTATCTTTGATGAAAAACACAATAAAGAATTAATATGAAGAAGAGACATTAGATAAAAGTACGCCATCAATTCTGTCTTGCTGTGGAAAGAGTTGTCTGCCTCTTGATATTGGGGTTGAGCACCCCCACCTCCCCGGTCACCGGCTAAAATTGATGATGAAATCCAATTCAGGTAAAAAGACAAGTTATAAAAGCGCGGTTTGAAAATAATACACCTTACCGGAGCATTTGGATAAATGCCAGTGTCGTGAGATGCAAGATGCTGGCGAGAATCAATGTTAATCTTTTCTTCCTCATCTCCTGATCGAATTTCGAATTAAGAATATATGGATAATGTGGTGTTGAAAAGTTCTCGTCCCAACCATTGCTGTGTATTTCATTGTGGTATGAATATGTATGCAGGTATGTACGCGTGCATCATGCTGTGTTATACATCGCCATATATATATATATATATGAATAATAGCGTTTGGTAATTGGTAGGGATAATTCCAAGGAGGGCATTAATCCAAAGAGAACTCAATGTAAATAACAGAGCAATATATTAAAAATAAGTCAAGGAAATCCGTAAAAATTCATCTCGGTTATAATTTGTTTCATGAATATATTTTTTACATTTTCTAAATTTTTCTAAAATCTTTCGGTTTGAAGAGATGAATATTCAAATATATTACTGAAATAAATTATAACCAACGTAGATTTTTAAGGATTTCCTTGACTGACTTTACACACACACACACACACACACACACATATATATATATATATATATATATATATATATATATATATATTGTTTATATTTAGGCAGCAATTTTTCATTAATGCATGTTTCATTAAGTAATATAGACAAGTTTTGTCTATTTATTTTAAGTAAGTTTCTTTCATATTGTCTGATAAGCTTAATCACATTATCGTTGAAAGACGAAAGGAAAACACCATATTGATACATGTTTAAATCCAATCTAAGCTTTCGGCTTACACAAGCCATTATCAAAGATGACAATTTCAATAAATCAAACAACACGCGGACGAAACAACAATGGTAGTCTGCCCTGGCTGCATGAAAATTTTAAGTAACGACAAACTCGCATATCCGAGACGCGGAATCGAAAATCGCATCGCAGCTCATGACGTCACACATGACCAGGCGAGAGTGAAAAACGAGAAGTATTAATTATGGGAAGCCGTTGGTATAAAACAATGGCTTCTGTTATAAATTATAGACATTTAAGGATATTTGTGGGGATTTCATAGTTTATTTTGTCCACGTTAGGTTTCAAATGTTTTATGTATAATGCTCCAAGAATTTTTAATTTTTGTTTATTGTTTTCATGTTTAAGTAATAGTTGTGTTGTCAACAAGGATTTTCTGGAAAAAAATCGTTATCAGTTAATTTCTTTACATTCAGTCTTCGAGTCGAAATAGGTAATCCTTAAGAATGGAAAGAAAATAAAAAAAAAATGTTTTTCTTTTTTCTAATTATCCATGTGTTTTCTATGTCGATAGTAAGCAACATATGATCCAAATAAAGTTTTAAACTTTTGACAATTAGTATTCTTATATATATATATATATATATATATATATATATATATAATTAATGAATATAAAATTCTTAAAATTCCATAGGTAATATTTTTTATTTCATGAGGCAACAATAGTTAGCCTTAGGCATCGAACTTCTAGACGAAAGGTACGATGAATAAAGCGAACTATTGTTGCCTCATGAAATAAAAATGATTACCCTATGGAATTTTAAGTGTTTGATATTCATTATTTAATAATAATTTTGCTCCGTCTCTGACATAGAGCTCTCCTTAGATCTATATCCTAAAGGAAATTCCATGCGGATTACTATTTCATTATTATTAATAATAATAATAATTATAAAAAATATATATATATATATATATATATATATATATATATAGATATATATATATATATATATCTTCTTGAAGACTTCATCAGACTAAAATTGGTATGTTGTAATTTAAAACTGACACAAAACATACGCGCGAACGAAGGATACTGTGAATTTTCAGTTTTAAACTACCAACATAAAAAAGTTTGTTCTACTGAAGTCCTAAAGCACTAAACGTGACACAAGAAAACCTTTTTCACATTGTTATATATTGTTGCCTAATATTGTTCTTCACATTTATAAAGCATATATATTGTTGTCACAGACAGACAGACACACACACACACACACACACACACACACACACACACACACACATATATATATATATATATATATATATATATATATATATATATATAAATGCCTGTGTGTGTGCAAGAGAGCACATTTTCTTTATTATATTATCTCGAATAATCGGGGAGGTAGACGAATTAAATACTGTTTAATATAAACGGAACGTCTACTCAGATATGAATAACGACTAAAAATAATGTTTGAAATTATATATGTTTTCGTCTACCGGCCTAATTATTCGAGGATTGTTAATAAAGAAATGTATGTGCTCTCTGAAAGGAGAGGTTCATTACTTCTGACAGGGGTTACCCAGTGTTGGAGTGAGAGCAAATAGGAGTGATAGAAGAAAGGATGAAGAGACGGTTAGGGGATAGATCAAGGCATCTAGAGACGCCGATTGACATTACATTTGAATAGTTGGAGATTAAAGTCATCAGGAAAACAAGAAATGGGAGGGAGTTTCACAGGCGAGAGGTGCGAGACATGAAGCTATTGAATTAGAAGTGACAGCTACATTTAACAGTTTCGACAGTGAAAGGTTGAGAGCGTGATGCCAGCCTAGTAGAACGTTTAAATTTATGAAGTCTGGGAACCAGCGAAAGCAGCTCATCGGAGCAGTTACCATGAGAGTATTTGTAAAAAAGACAGAGGGAGACGACGGCATTTCTGTGAGAGAGCGATTGCAGACGAGATGCCAGATCAGAGCCAATTACACTTCAAATCCGTCTTTGGATTTTATCAAGAACCTTGAGACAAATAGAAGTGGCACCGGACCATATATGGCAGCAATACTGCAGAGCGAATGGTTGAATTTTAGATTTGAAGGATCGACTCCGGCGAGAAAAATTTCCTGGCGCGGGACAGGGAGCCAACTTTCCTTGCGGTAGACGAAGCTATTGACTTCATATATATATATATATATATATATATATATATATATATATATATATATATATATATATATATACACGTTGGTAATCATAGAAACAACAGGGAGTCTATCGCTAAGAGTGTATGACACTCATTCATCAAGTTTTCGGGGATCGTTATCACATAAAACCCAAGACAAATATAGATTTCAACAGAAAGTCTTATGGATAGCCTTACAAAGTTCCATGGATGCCGTCATGAGAGAATTGTATAATGCAGTAGTTTATTATTCCTGCCTGGGGCAAAGAATCACAAACAAGGTTCTAGATAGGATAGACTTATACGAAATACCTTGGCCTTGAGGAGGAAAGGGCAATCACTTGTGGGGTCTGGAAAGATCATTAGAAAGTAAAAGGGAAGGTAAATTCAGGTAGTGTCTGGAAGAGACTGCAGACGAACAATAGCTGGGGCTGCAAGATAGGGCATTAGGTTTAGGTGGAGAAGGGGTCAAATTGCATGTTCTTAAGGCAATGTCTGTTTGGAGAAGCACGGAGCGGTTGCTGCGTACGACGAATGTATAGACTGAAAGGTGATATTTATAATACGAGCGTGTCCAGCATATTCCAAGTATAAAGCTATTCGACAGATGGATACAAGAATAATTTTCCCTTTTTTCATCACCACACATGCGTACATTCGCGCGCGCACATAGACTCAATGATGCACCCTATTTACTCTATCTTTCTCTCTTTCTCTCTCACTCACACATATATGTATATATGCGTGTGTGTGTTTATTTCATTTTCTAATTCTGTTAACGTCTTTATTGTTTATTGCACTTTCGTACTATCATTTAAATATATTCAATGATCATTTTTAATTAAACCTGGATTGATAGGGATTGCTTCTCAAATACAAAAAGCGCTTTATCTTCTCATATATATATATATATATATATATATATATATATATATATATATATATATATATATATATAGAGAGAGAGAGAGAGAGAGAGAGATAGATAGAGAGAGAGAGAGAGAGAAAGAGAGAGAGATATTTTTATGTTTATACGTTTTTTATATACACAAATATTTAAGTAATTGTTCTGTTTATAATAAACGGTATTAACGACATTTAATGGTCTCAATCTCCGATAAATTTTCAATAAAGATTAAATACGTATATTCATGCGTTCATGAGTTCCTTTGTATGAATTAACCAATAGTGTCTTTTTGCTGTAAAGATGGACATAAGGAAGAAAGATGGACATAAGATTCGATAGAGAATATAGCCTCGATAAGCCTGGTTTGAAAAGAGGACAGGGTTATTTGGTTTCATACCTGCCTCTGAGAAATCTGTTAGTATTACAGTTTCTGTTATATAGGAAATAAATGTCGTTGACAAGACTGGAGTTTGAACACAGATCGCCAGACAACAAACGCATGCGATTACATTTTGAATAAGTAGATCATGTTATAGTAGAGGACATGTATGTATGGGAATTAGCGTGGCGTCTAATTGATCACTATTTCTAGACTATCCTCTATTATTATACGATCACTATTTCTACTCTATCCTCTAATACTATACGGATCGCTATTCTCTATACTTCTTCTATACTATTTCTCTATACTGATCACTATCCGGAGTACTATTTGGATAACGGTGGCTACTTTTCGAGATAGTATTATCTATTAGTGCGAGTGTTATTCAAATGCATCTGATACCAGTATTGTTCAACGGCGTTACTATAGTTTGTATCTGCGTTTGCAAAGTCTATATTACAAAGAGAATCATGAAAGAGACAAGTATTCGGTGACATTACATAAGTGGCAACGAGTGTTCGTTGACATCACAATAATGTCTCTTCTCAGTCGTTTATTAGTATATCTATTTTCAAATGTCTAAAAATGTTGTCTATTTCAAAATGAATTAAGCAAATCAATGAAGCAGAATACTTTAGATTTTGT